TTGCACAATGGGACGAAACAGCCGTCCAGTGCTTCCAGGTTTCCAACGGTGGTCTAACATCAATTGGTTCATGATCTCAATTAAAAACAAGTATCCTAACATTTCAGATTATTTTCAATGCATAAATTAGGTGTGTCATTAAGTATTATTTTAAATAAGCAAACTCTTTAAGGTATTCAAATCTAGACAAAACTTTACCGTAATAACTTCATAAGATAGTGGTTTAAATTTTAACAGATAACTGTTAGACATTTCCCAAACTTTGATGGAGTTTTGTTCTCTGAGCTGGATGGTTGATCGTGCATGTTTACCTGAAGTTTGTGCTGATGATATCATACAGAAGAACGATAAAAGCTCCATGACCAAACCATCCAGCTCAGAGAACATAACTCCATCAAAATCATCCATCTGAGCTACAAATCTTCTCTACTATCTAATTTCCCAAACTACGCATTTTGACTTTAAATTAGAATTTAATAATTTGTTTTCTGTTGTGCAGAAATAATGCTATTCTAATATTGACTTTTATAATAATATTTTTTTTTTTTACTTGTTTATTAATTTCAACCATCGTGTATTCGGTATGAGGGGATTTGCATAGTTTGTTGAATTCTGTAGTTTACACTATGATGTAACCTTAGAAGGAAGTCCTGGACAGGTGTTTCGTCTTAGATTGAGACTCTTCAGCAAGACTATTCCATCTTTTCATCAGTAGACTGAATAGCATTTTCTGTATAAACGGTAATGATATGTATAAATGCAAATCTGGTAACTGAAATTACTTTTTGATAAATCTACCAAAAGAAGGCACATATTTAAATGTTCTGTTTATGATAGTTTTTAAATTATTGGTGGCACTAAGGATGCTAATACTTCCGGTAAACTCATGTTCTTGCTTGACGTTAGTTCTATGCTCACTAGTGTACCTTTAAATGAAACTACATGGTACATATGTGATTATATTGATTCTAACAACATATATATACGTCTGTCGACTGACTATATTACCGCGTTGTACCTTCATTATCCAGTTCGATTTCAACAATGAAATATATAGACAATGAAATGGGATCGTAATGGGGTCTTCATTGGCCTCAATTTTAGCAGACTGTTTTAAATCGAAGCTGAAAAACAACTAACTTAGTTCAATGATCAATCGATTTAACCTATACATAAGATATATAGACGACATGTTTGTCATTTGCAACGAGAATGTTGAATTGGCAGACGTTTCACATTCCTTCAATAAATGCCGTACAACTAGATAACAAAGTTTTTGAAAAGAGATTTTTTCACTTTCGAACTCTCATTGTAATATCAGAGGCTGATCTAATTTGTTCAGTGTTTTACAGATTCCTAATTTATTTAAATTAACATAATTTTCTAGAAGTTAATTACATAGAAATACTAATTCTTAGTGGGTAATCTCATTCCTTTTAAAAACTCAACACATCTCCACGTCATAATTTTGTAGAATAATTTCCCTAATAGCTGTTAGAATTTTGGTTTATTCACGAAATTCGCTCATATAGAATGAAGTGAATCAGAGATACATGAGAAATTCGATTACGGAAACCATTCTACAGGAGGTTTTTAAGGTTACAGGCTAATAAACGCAAAACTTTCTTTAGGAGATAATTACAATCAACTTTAGTCGAACCATTCAATGAACAGTATATAAATATGTTAGATGGTTGGAGGTTGTCACTGAGAAACCTTGCTTGATGTAGGTCGTCACTCATTAACAAATCGTGAGTGAAAACTTTAGGGGATTGATGTTTCTTGTATGATTCTAGCCTGTTTCACCTAGTCTCACAGTCTGAAACCTTGCCGTTAAGCTATTCAGGCTGTATCTGATCTCTTATAAGACCAAGGTACTTAAGATTGATTGATCACTGAGTAGTGATTAATGTCATATGTGTCAAACCTTTTAAGTGTTGACTACATTTTACAGCTTAACTAGTTCCAACCACTTAACATTAAAATATTGTACACACGATGTCGAATCACTTAGAATTGCAGTCTCACTTTGATTTTGATACACAGAATTCGATCAAAAATTCGACAAACACGATATTGGTCACTGCTCAGTTGTTAGTTAGTTACATATATATGTATATTATCGAGGAAATTAATGAAATTTATTAATATTGTCAGGAGTTTGAAAGTATTATCGACAGACAAATACAATAATATGATAATTCATTTTATATTGTTTGTTTGAGTTTTCGCATTGATATTTATGACTGTAATTGATCAGTTTTGGAGTGAACATCAACTCTGAGATGCAGGTGCATCCATACAACGAGTCCTCAAAAAGACGAAACGCTCATCTTGGATTCCACTACTAGCCACTATCCATCTTCGCTTATAATGATAACATTTGTTTATTTCATTTATTTTTATCGATCATTTTGTTAATAATTTTTCTAATATAAGCAGTGATATTCATGTCTGTGAACACTCCTCTATTTAAATACATATTTTGTACTTATTGTGAAACATTTAAAGAAGAAACAGGGTGTCATCACATAATAACAAGAGTTTAATTCACTGGGTATATTGTTAACTTAAATATAAAATTAATAAATTTGCCTTTGAATTTCAACTATATATTCTATTCCCTATGTTTATGCATAAATGTGAGTATATTATTGTTATTTATTATAAAACTTGGCTTTGGGCGTCAACCCATAGTGATGAAACAATCTAATTCAGACGAACTTTGTTGGGTATTTATTATATATATATATATATATATATATATATATATATATATATATATATATATATATATATATATATATATATATATATATCAGACTAAGTCAATCTTTACTCATTTACCATATAGTATAAATTGTATAGTGCCCGTTTTTCATTATAGCCCTGCCCATTGGATGACCTGAAAGGATAACTAAAATTATTGATTATATACATATATCGATAGATTGCTTCGAGTAAACTATTTACTTTAAATTGATAGTTAACTACAGATTAGATAATAAGGAGTACACTTTGTGTAGGATATAGTTTCATTTTAAAGCATTTGAAATGTATTCGTCTGTTTTTTTTTTAATACACAGTAATATGGAATCTTTATATTGTAATAATATAACAAGGAATGATCAAGTTCATTAACTTAGTTGTATGGATGATTATTGTTTGTTGATTAAATAAATGTATTATAATCAGAGTGGTCACGTAGTAATATAACTTCTTATAATCGTATTATATTGTTTGTAGCATGTTAATATAAATCTACTAACCTTTGAAATTATAACGTTATCCTTAAGTTAATTATCCTTCATCCATAATCGTGATTGTTAGTTAAGCTTTATCAACGAATAGCACACTGGACATGTGAAGAGAACGATAATTGTTACGATTTCCATTGTAAACAATACCACTTGGATCCAAGTAAAATCTGACGATGAGATCAGAATAAAATGAAATGTGCTTCTTGAATTTAGCCCCTAACCATAATCCATCTATTTTTATAAAATACTAATAATTGTTTTTATATAAGACTATTTCTGTTCTCTATGTGTATGCATTTCCTTTTAAGATGGTGTAGAAGATTTGTAGCTCAGGTAGATGATTTTGGTGGAGTTTTAATCTCTGAGCTGGATGGTTTGGTCGTGGAGCTTTTATCGTTCTTCTGAACGAGTGTGCTGCAGCACACTGGCAGCACGAAAAAATAAAGAGAAATACCTGAACGACGTATTTCAAAAGAATGGCTACCCAATCAACTTCATCAAAAAATAGCAACCGCACGCAGCATCAGAATTCAAGTCAAGCAAAGAAATCAACAAAAGGATAGCCCTACCATATATACAAGAAATATCAGAAACAGCAACGAGACTGCTGAAAACCTTCAGGATAGGTGTGGCACACAAACGGACAAAATCACTATAATCAATCCTATACAAACCAAAGGATGAAATAACAAAAAAAAACAAATCAAGCATCATCTACAAAATAAATTGTGTCAACTGCGAAAAACACTACATCGGACAAAGCGGACGCCCTCTTCACCTACGCCTACACGAACATCAATTAGCAGTCAAACACCATGATATCTCCTCACTTATATCAATACACGTAGACAACTGCGGACACTCATTCGATTGGAAAAATGTGGAAATCCTAGACAGAGGAAACTCCAAAAACACCAGGGAATTTTTAAGAGCCTGGCACTCAGGTCAATCAGCAATCAATAAGCATATTGAAATCAATCCAATTTACCAACCAATCAGGAAAATCATGCACAAATATAGGAACTAAAATCAAATCATTGAGAGACACAACCAAAACAAAGAAGAAAACAATGACAAATTTAAGGTCAATAACAACCAATAAACATCGAGGTGCACAGAACAAGCTGTGAAACACATTTGGAGAAATTCGAACACTTCACTTCTATCTGAAGTTTGTGCTGATGATGTCATTCAGAATAACGATGAAAGCTCCACAACTAAACCATCCAGCTCAGAGAACAAAACTCCACCAAAAGCATTTCTTTTAAATAGGATAAAGCTAACCGACTATTTACGTGGTGAATTTAGTTTCTATCTTCATTCAATGCTCAGAAAATAAATTCTCCTCAAATAAAAAAATATTTTTTTTCATGTTCATTTGCTAATACCCTCACATTGAGTTACTGATTTTACTTTAGTAGACTGTCATTTCTTGTCCTGAATTCTTCGTCTTCTAAAAAGAATCATTATAATAATAAATTAATACTGAAATTCATTCTAATCTATCCAAAGAAATTCATTGTATCTAATTAGACTGCATGATTTTATTTGTTCAGTACATAGATATTATCACTGGATGTATACCAATAAATCACTTGTGTATACATGCTAAAAACTTAGTAATAGTATATTGTTTATGATATGAAAACACATAATAAACCGTAGTGAAAACATTGATTGTTTTATATATATACAAAGTTAATTGAACAGTTATTATTATTTTTTTCTTCATTATTTTAGATCTCAAAGTGAAGTTCGCAATGATAGAGCAAAACTTCTTTTGGATCCCACTGATACATATCCGACAAGATCATTGACTATTCAGTCAGAACGTAGTTCTGAACATATTCCATCTATTAGTTGGTCAGTTCATCCAACATCTCCTTTAAGTTCAAAATCACCAACGGGAACTTTATCACATGAAAATATGGATGGAAATGCTGGATTTTTTATGGTTGAAGTTAAATTATTAAGTGATGAAGAGGTTCCATTACAGTTGGAAGTTACGGTAAGTCTAGGGTTAACTGAATTATTGATTTGAAATGATCGATCCCTACAAAATATATTCAGTAGATTTATTTGTGAAATGTGATTGGTAATAAAGCATAAATGAAGAAAAAAAACATGGCATTTATTCTAGACAATCATAAATTCACTAGGTATCAGGGTTTGTGAAGATTGTAGTATTCTAACACTTGAATTCTGAGTCGACCTAAGCGTTCACGTGCGAGACAAAAAATCCTGGGTTTGAGCACTGTGTGCGGGATCATGAATGAGCACTAATAGAGAGTCCCATACTAGGACTAAACGGCCGTCCCGTGCTTCCAGGTTTTCAATAGTGGTCTGTCTTAAATCGACTAATGAATTCAACTGTTAAAATTCACTAGATGTTTCGTTGGTTTATTTTTAGCTCAATATATAACCTAATAGATTTGGTGATTTTGAATCATCACTCTTATAATTTGGAATTCGCTCAAAAAAATTATTAATATAGAGGAATTTGAGATAGTCTAATTTATATCAATTAAATCGCTGGCTGATCTTAGTTAGACCATTACTGAATACATAGGAATAGATGACCATTTTATCTTAGTGTAGTATTCATCAATAGTGCGCATCTACAACCTCAGATCCGAGAATCAAACTTAGAACCTTCTGTAGTGATTTAAACAAAATGGATTGTTTAAAATTAAATGAGTTTATGGTGTATATATAATTAAAAATTAAATTTTTTTAAAGTAACTTTTCTTTCTAGATACATGAAGTGACATTTCTAGAATATTCCAAGATGATTTCCATTGATTAATATAAAAAAAAATCTAAGGGAATTTAAAGGGAAGGGATGTATGAAGACAACCCACTGGATTGTCATTCTAATTAACTAAATAATAATAAAAATGAGTAATAAGTTCAAAATGTTTCAGTTATTAAGGCTTATAAAGGTTAACCATTAACTCATTTTGTATAGAAAGGTCAAGTTCAAATGTTGTAATTGCTTTAGCTTCCAAAAAGTTTGATAATATGGAATTGAATTATTTTTTGATTATTTTGAATGAATTCATTACATTCACTTTGTTTCTTCTCAATGAAATGTCATACTCTCAAAATGTGAAGAGTATTTTCTCCTCAAAGTGATAGGCTTCTTTTGGAATATATTCAACAAAACTTGTAGATACCTGTTTTATTGTCCTTTCAAGTATATTTAAATCAATATGATCATTTGAAAGTGACAAGTGATGTGTAATTTGTCTACCTTTGTTTATATTATTAAACATGATAATACATACAATGGAAACAATTTTAGAGCAAAAACTATACTTTTTATAGCTACTTTTAGTTTTACATTATTAAATGTATGATTTTGGTTACTATTAATTAACAGTTGAATAAAAATGAAGTGAATAATGATGTAAAACACCTATAGAAAGGTAAATGTTGAGGGACTTGTTTAAAATCCATCTTCCTGGTTTTGAATGTTATTACATAATTGTAAGAAGCCATGTAAGTTATAACCATCATTTTCTTAGTCTTCATTAGAAGTGGATTTACATACATTTTAACATTCATTTAGTATTTAAGAGAGCTACATAGAAGAGTGGAACCTTTATTAAAGATTTCATTCCAATCATTTTAATCTATCTACTTATGTCTTTTATGCACAGAACACTAAAGCACATGCCAACTTATGGAATAAAATAGACGAATATGTGAGTGTGTGTGGGGGGGGGGGAAACTACATCTTAAAATCAAGTCCTCAGTAAAATTTATACTTTTATAGGCATCATTCACTAAATAAATGAAAAAAAGTATATTAGATATTGCACAACTATTGGACATTGAAAAACGGATACACCAGAACTATACAAACACTTATTTTATCCCAAGTAATAATGTTGCTAAAATTTAATTTAATTGATTTAAACTTAAATAAATATACAGGTCACATATTGGCATCTCTAATTAACTGTCTACTATAAAAGTCTTATATTTTGAAATGGTGGAGAAGATTTCTAGCTCAAGTTGATGATGTTTTGTTCTCTGGAGCTGGATATTTTGATTATGAAACTTTACATAAAGTTTGTCCTGATGATATTGTTCAGAAGAACGATGAAAGCACTATGACCAAACTATTCAATTCGGAGAATAAAACTCTATCAAACATCTTACATTCTATTTTAACGTAATAAAAATAGACAATTGTCGTATTCAGTTTAGTTTTATTATACTAATTGTATGATTTATTAATCAGTTATACATCGAAAACATCTGTTAAACTGAGGACAGTATAATTAGTTTATTATGACAGTTAATTGAAATAAATGTTAAGCTATAAAGTAATCTCGATTTAATATCATTTTATGTGTCTTTTAAATGTACATTCATCATAAACATTATTGAAAATAAAAGGTTGACCTCAATATATCTCTCTTTTGTCCAGATTAATAAAATATTCGTGATATATTGTACCTAAATAAAAAATAAACAAACATATAAACCAGCATCCAACGGTGTTAATGTCTAACTTTAACTGGATGCTGGCTCAGTGGTCTAGAGGTTAAGCGTTCGCACACGAGACCGACAGATCTCGCGAGGCGGGATCGTGGATGCGCACTGTCACAGAGGAGTCCCAAACTAAGACCGAACAGCCGTCCAGTGCTTTCAGGTTTTCCATGATGGTCTAACTTCAACTGACTTATGAATTTAACTAATAAAGTTACTATAATATCCACAAAACCTCCCCTCTGACTATAAACAAATTAACCTTTCTATTGTTAAATGTATATTATCATTATTAGTAAGGGTTCGAGTTATCCCTTAATTAATATTTTGAAGTGAATTCTGATCAGTTTTTGTTGGAATATGTGCATCCAGTATGGATTGTCTTGATATAACCATTATGTTACAAAGTGTTAAGGATTGTGATTATATGGTTTCAGTAGTTCTGTCGATTACATATTGTGTATTTGAAGAGGAAGGTAATTGGTTCAAGTATTGATGAGAATATCATCATAGGGATGTCAGCACCTCCTGATGTATACTTGTTTGTTTGAAGTTTAGTAAATAAATAATTAGTTGAATAAAGTTCAATCATCGATATAATTTGAAAGGAAATTTCGGTATTTATGTCCAGCCTTAATTGCATTTCTTTTATTACTGTATATTTATTTTGTTCCATTGGTTATTATAGCTCATAAGACAGAGTATCAGACAACATCAGTTCCCTCAAGATAAAAAGTATTTCTTAGTATGATGAGTATCATCTAGGATCAAACCTAGGTCAATCAAGGTTTTCTATCAACTACTTCTAACTATTTAACATCAAACATAGTCTATATGAGGCTGAATTATTCAGATTAATGCTACACTGGAACTCAGTCTACAAAATTCAACCATCAATAATAGACTAGATAGACAAAACATTATTCATTACCAATTCGTCTTGAGTCATGTATACAATCTGAAAGTATTCAAATGCTTGTATGAATCCAAGGCTATAATTCTTTATAGCCATTGTTTCAAATGTTTATATAGAACAAATGGAACATGACTAACACTAGAATTTTGAATACATGTTTCGTCGTACATCGAAATGATCAGTTAGATGTACATTGATATCACAGTTATTATCCCCCCCTTACACACGGTACTCGATTTCAGAACCATTTTGTATTAAACTATAATGCGGGTGAGATTACAATACATGGACGACTTTAGAGTGATGCTGAAGTGACCTGATTTCATCTACTTATTAGAGTTGAATAAGGGTTTTTAATTGGTGTAAGGAATTACGAATAAGACTGAGAGTTATAGGGTAGGGTTAGGAATTAAATATAGATTTCTCATCACGAACTGATATTAGCTGAAATGCTATTTAGCCATATATATGAATGAATTTGGCGTCAAAATCCAAGAATTGGTACTTTTAACTACGTTGTTTGTGTAGAATTACTTTTGTAAAATAATTACAATTATTGAAACTTGAATAATTCTACCGTTTCGTCCAGCAAGTTTGTCTTGGTTTCTTCAGGATTATAATGAAAACCGAAATTATCAAAAAATATATAACATTTGACAATCATATTAAATCTGCAAACGCTAAATTACGGATTGAATTGAATAAGCATTTAGTGTAAACTTAATTTGATTGTTAAACATTATATATAAAAACTGTTACTCTGGTTGTTAGAAGGGGCATCGGCCTCATGGCTTCCGAAGGAACTCGGCTTTCACCATGAGGTGTCATGACTTTTCTTAATGAAAATCTTCTAACTCCCAGGGCAGATGTTAAATGGTTTGAATTACTTTTCCTGATTAACGTTTTTTAGCGTATTAGTTTTCTACGGGATGGAGCCGTTAATCCCATACCCAACCCTCCTCCTTTATCCGGGCTTCGGACTGGCAGTAACTCTAGACGAGCTACAAGCGGAGTTAAACATTATGTTCTTCTTGATAATTTTGATCTTGATGATATTCTTGAAAGAATGGAAACACGTTTGCTGAATGAAACGTTGGAATTATCTAAATTTCAATAGCAAAGATTATTTCTAATATAATTTTGCACAAACAATGTCTTTTATATACTCCGGGCTAAATTTCTGTTAGAATAATTGTAAAGATATTGACAAATATCTTTGTGTAAATTTGATTCCATGAGTCTGTCCAGGAATTATACTCTCACCTCAATGAGTTGTCAACTTAACTACTGAGTTCAGATAATCAATTACCTATGCAATGGATATGAATGTTAGTTTACTTGATAATAATTGGAATTGTCTCGCTGTTGACATTTTTGACTGAAATTCAATCAGTTGTAGGTGGAGTTTGTTCCTTTCTACTGGATGGTTTTATCATGGACCTGTCATCGTTCGTCTGAACAGCATCATCGGTTCAAACTTCAGATAAAGGTGTAGTGTTCGAATTTCTCCACATATGATTCGCAGCTTGTTCTGTCGACCTTGATCTGGATTTGTTATTGTTGACATTTAACATGCAATTGTCTACTTCCTT